GCTTGGGACTTGGACCTTAGTACAAGTACTGAGTGACTGACTGGTAGTTTGCGTACTGGTATATAGTTCTACGGGATTCGGGATCGTTTCCCTGGGGCCTGGGATTTGGCCATATACGACTACTGCGTGACTGAGCAGTATCGAGTGATTTGAGCAGTTTATGAGTGAAGAGTGTGAGATAGTGAGATTGAGTACTCTGAGAGTGTGAGTACATGAATTCATCTTTGAGATATATTGCATTGACCTGCAAACATGACATACAGGCATATAGATGCATTTTCCTCATGTTGTACGGTATCACGTCATTCCTGACTTCTCACACATGTTGACATATAGGCATAGGGATGTATTTTCCTCATGCCATTTGAATATGAAACATTTACCTGTTGAAAGTTTTTTGGGAAAAATTACAGTATTCAAACTCACTCATATTTTTGGCCGTCTTAGTAAAAGATTTCACTAATTTACCTGAAAAGCATACCTATTTTATGGAACAGTGAACGAGCTGAGCATTTTATCTCTGAGTTACTTCTTTTATTACTTTCATTATGTTTTTATGAATTGTTATTGGTTGTTGTTGTCGGACTTCGACCTATGTTCCAGCTCGTCACTACTTTCAACCTAAGGTTAGGTTTGTTACTTATTGAGTACGAAAATTGTCCGCAAGGTAACTACAATGGTCTAGATATCACGGTAAAAATGCCCCAACGGTCAAAAACCACCCCCACACCCCCCAGATCCCCTCCCCCTCAAGACCCAGATCCAGCCCCAGTCGGCGACTTCCCGACACCGGCGACCACCTCCTTCCAACAGGTATCTGACAGTCGTAGCCGTCTCATTTTCCGTCTATTCTTACCGTATTCTTGCCGGAGATTATGTATCTGTCGATTTGAAATAGTACGGATTTGTAACGATACGCTGTTTGTGCAATTTTTAGTTTTGCTGCACTAGTGCGTTCTTTTTGGATTTTTCTCTCTTCTGCTCTATGTTCATTACTCCAATTTTCTCTGATTTTTCAATTTGGATATTCACAGCTACATTTCTGTTGCTTCTTGAAGCTTTGATTGTCATATTCTGTTGCTTCTTTATGCTTTGACAATCATACAAAATCATCAACATCGTTTAATTAAGAAATAGACATTTAATTATTGTTACTATCTGTTTTTTATTATTTGGTTTTGGTTTCGGATCATATTGTTACTATCTTAATATTCTGCTATCTCCAGCTTCTTGTAATTACCTCTTATATATTTGTATTAGACGTTTTATTGTCTTCTGAATTTTTCTTCTCTTACTTACTTTCTCACTCTATATTTTCCTCCTGATTCGTTACTTTGTTATCTTCCTTTTTCTTGTACAGACTCACTCTATCTTTTCTTCCTGATTCTTCTCTTCCTTTTATTCATTATTGACTGTTTTTAAATTAACTTAAGGTTTTAGTTCATCCTTGTTTTTGCGCTCCTTTGCTACGGGTAGGGCCTCGCCAGCGGTAGCGGTGACAACCCCTCCCTCCTTTGTTTGGCTTCATGGTGTTTGGTGTGTATTTCAGGTCAGGGCTAGTGCCTATTAGTGGTGAACGAGACGTGCGTGTGCAAACATTAAAGAACAGCCCGAGCGAGTGTCAGCAAGGGACGGCAGGAGTTGGAAGCGAACGTGCTAGGTTGTCGCAACATCGTCGTATATACCAATACAATTCCCAGGTTCTACTTGTGGGAGTTGGTACCTCCCGTATTCCTATTTCCCTTTGTTGTGTTAGTTAAATTGCCGCCATCTTAGTTCGTATTAATCTATTCACCGTATTAGTGTGCCTGTAGTTGCAGCTTGTCTTCTTCTAGTTTGGTCTGTTGCTGTGTGTGTTAGTGATTCCCAGTAGTCTGCCGTAGGTATAGTGGTTGTGGTCTGGGATGGTCGAGTGAGGTCATGTCCTCGGGGGGAGCGAGGGGTGGGGCGGGAGGTAGGGCAGGGATTAGGGGGTAGGTCAGGAGGCAAGGGAGGTAAAGGGGACAAGGGTTTCTATAGGTCGAGAATTGGGTAACGGAACGTAGGTACATTGACGGGTAAATCTATAGAGTTGGCGAAGATCCTCCTGAAGAGGAGGGTTAATATAGCGTGTGTCCAAGAGACAATGTGGGTGGGGTCGAGGGCAAAGGACGCGGACGGGTATAAGCTTTGGTACTCAGGAGTCGAGAAAGGTAAGAATGGAGTGGGTATCTTGGTGGATAGGGGATTTAGAGAGTCTGTGGTTAAGGTTAGACGAGTGAATGATAGATTGATGACTATTAATTTGGTAGTTGGTGAGTGTACCCTAAACGTCGTTAGCGCCTATGCGCCACATGCGGGCCTGGATGAGGAGGTTAAACGGCGCTTCTGGAAGGGGATAGATGAGATTGTGCGCCGGGTTCCACCTGCTGAGAAGCTATTCATAGGAGGGGATTTCAATGGTCATATCGGGCCGAACGCAGGTGGTTATGGCGAGGTGCATGTAGGCTTCATTTTTGGGGAGAGGAACGGAGGAGGTACATCGAAGTTGGACTTTGCTAAGGCTTTTGGGTTGGTGATTGCGAACTCTAGCATTCCGAAGAGAGAGGAGCATCTAGTTACTTTTCAAAATGCGGCGGCGAAGACTCAGATTGACTATCTCCTCCTCAGGAGGTGTGACAGAGGGTTGTGCAAGGATTGCAAGGTGATTCCGGGTGAGATACTCGCGACGCAACATTGGCTCTTGGTGATGGACGTTGGTATTATGTTGAAGAGGAGGAGAAGGTCTGCTTGAGGAAGACCGAGAATCAGATGGGGAGCCTTAACTAAGGATAAAGCCCAAGAGTTGGAAGGGCGATTATCGGCTATGGGAGCTTGGAGGAGCAGTGGTAACGCGAGCACTATGTGGTCAGCAACAACAAACTGTATAAGGGAGGCTGCGAGAGAGGTGTTAGGGGTCTCGTCGGGCATCTCTGGTGGGCACAAAGGAGACTGGTGGTGGAGTGAAGTGGTCCAAGGTAAAGTGGAAGCGAAGAAGGCGGCATACCTGAAGCTAGTGGAGAGCATAGGTGAGGAGGAGAGGCGAGCGTGCATGGAGAGGTATAAGGTAGCTAGGAAGGAAGCTAAGATGGCGGTCACGGAGGCTAAGACTGCGGCTTATGGTCGTATGTACGAGGAACAGGGGGGAAAAGGTGGGGAGAAGAAGTTATTCAGGCTGGCCAAGTTGAGAGAGAGAGAAAGTCTCGGGATTTGGACTAAGTGAGATGCATTAAGGATGACGACAGTAGAGTATTGTGCTAGGCAAATTGGAGCATTCCGAGAGTCACCGTGACTTCTGAATGAAGAAGGGGATCGAGATATTGTGCTAGGCAAATTGGAGCATTACGAGAGTCACCGTGACTCTGGGTACTGCAGGCATATCAAAGTTGAGGAGGTCGTGGGAGCTATGCGTAAGATGAGTAGGGGCAGAGCGACCAGGCCAGACGAGATTTCGATGGAATTTTAGAAGTGTGTGGGGAGAGCAGGTTTGGAGTGGTTGACTAGGTTGTTTAATGTTATTTTTAAGGCGAAGAGGATGCCGGATGAGTGGAGGTGGAGTACGGTGGTCCTATTATATAAGAACAAAGGTGATATCCAGAGTTGTAACAGTTATAGGGGTATCAAATTACTGAGTCATACCATGAAAGTGTGGGAGAGGGTGATTGAAGCGAGGGTGAGGATGACAGTGTCTATATCGACAACCAGTTTGGGTTCATGCGGGTCGTTCTACTACAGAAGCTATACATCTTATTAGGAGGTTGGTGGAACTGTACAGTGAGAGGAAGAAGGATCTGCACATGGTGTTTATTGACCTAGAGAAAGCGTATGACAAGGTTCCTAGAGAAGTTCTCTGGAGATGCTTGGACGCAAAAGGGGTGTCGGTTCCATACATTATGGCGATTAAGGATATGTATGATGGGGCTAAGACTCGGGTTAGGACAGTTGGAGGCGACTCTGACCATTTTTCGGTTTGTAATGGGGTTACACCAAGGTTCTGCGCTCAGTCCGCTCTTATTCGCCCTGGTGATGGACGCGTTGACGCACCATATTCAAGGGGAGGCGCCGTGGTGCATCCTATTAGCGGATGACATAGTTCTGATTGATGAGCCACGAGCCGGTGTTAACGAGAGGCTGGAGGTTTGGAGACAGGCTCTTGAGTCTAAGGGTTTCAAGTTGAGCAGGACGAAGACGGAATACCTGGAGTGTAAGTTCAGCACTGAGCGGGTGGGAAGTGGGCGTGGATGTGAGGCTTGAATCACATGCCATCCCAAGTAGAGGCAGCTACAAGTACCTTGGGTCAGTTATCCAGGGGGGAAGGGAGATCGACGAGGATGTCACACACCGTATTGGGGTAGGATGGATGAAGTGGAGGTTAGCATCTGGAGTCCTATGTGACAGGAGAGTGCCACCGATACTCAAAGGTAAGTTCTATAAAGCGGTGATTAGACCGGCCATGATGTATGGGGTTGAGTGTTGGCCTGTTAAGAACTCACATATCCAGAAGATGAAAGTAGCAGAAATGAGGGTGTTGAGGTGGATATGCGGGCAAACTAGGATGGATAAGATTAGGAATGATGATATTCGGGAGAAGGTGTACGTGGCTCCCATTGATGACAAGATACGGGAAGTGAGTCTCAGATGGTTCGGGCATGTTCAGAGGAGAAGCCCAGATGCCCCGGTAAGGAGGTGTGAGCGGCTGGTTGTGGAGGGCACGAGAAGAGGTAGAGGGCGGCCTAAGAAGTATTGGGGAGAGGTGATCAGGCAGGATATGGCGAGGCTTCAGATTTTCGCGGACATGACACTTGATAGGAAAATGTGGAGTATTAGGGTTGTAGGTTAGGAGGTAGTTGAGTCTTGCCTTACTGCGTACCTCTATGAGACTAGTCTGGTAGGATTTTTGTCTAAGATAGCCATTCGAAATATTGTGTCTTACTATTATGCTTTTCAATGCATAACCTATTTACTACCTATCGCTTTTGCTTTGCATCTTTCTTCTGAATTTAATATTGTTCCTATTTTTCCTATAATTTAAGTGGTGATACTAATACTGTCTCCCTTTTGTCTTTCTGTTTTCTTGAGCCGAGGGTCTTTCGGAAATAGCCTCTCTACTCCTTCGGGGTAGGGGTAAGGTCTGCGTACATACTACCCTCCACAGACCCAACTAGTGGGATTTTACTGGGTTGTTGTTGTTGTTGTTGAGTACATGGGGTCGGTTGTACTCATACTATACTTCTGCACCTTGCGTGCAGATGTTGCCTGCTGACGTTGCTGTGATGGACAGGAGCTGGATTTGAAGATGTACTCGCATTCCGGTTATAGCCGCCTCTTGTTCATGGTAGCTCTAGGCTTCTGAAAATCTGTTTATGTATTATTTAGACAGATGATATTTTTTTATTTCACACCAGAGTTGTAAATTTTAATCTTAGAAGCTCATGATTTGTACTACCAGTCCTTGGAAAAATGTATAGAATTAAAATATTTAGTTCAATAAACAAATCGTAAAATAATTCCGAGCCCACTGAATGCACAATGTATCCTTAAGGAATTTAATCCCCTCAATGCTGCCCAAGGTATACAGATTAATTCCTCCCAGGATAGAACGGAATAACTATTCTATGATATCGGTACTTCAAATCACAGAACTTCAACGAACTCAACAAACGGAGCAAATCACACTTGACACTTATGTTTATTTAGAAAATAATGCAACAATGTATAAAAGAGGGGAGAAGATTTCAGATTTTTCATGTCTGATTTCATGTCTCCTCCCAGCTTGGCGGGAGTTCATCCGGTATTTCATGTTTCGATGTTCCGGAGGTATCACGGTGACACGTCGCATGTGTTGGATTTCAGTTCAGTCCAGCTGGGCAAGGATCTATCTTATGTTGAGGAGCCAGTGGCTATATTGGACAGGCAGGTCAGAAAGTTGAGGTCAAAGAACATTGCTTCTGTGAAGGTTCGGTGGCGGGGTCAGCCGGTCGAGGAGGCGACCTGGGAGATCGAGCAGGATATGCGCAGCCAGTACCCTCATCTTTTCACTACTTCATGTATGTTCTCTATTCTCGTTCGAGGACGAACGAATGCTTAAGTGTGGGAGGAAGTAACGACCCGGCCTGTCGTTTTTGGAATTTATGCCCCGATTCCCTAGTAACTACTTTCATTTCTGCTATTTTGATTTGCCGGGATGTTTGGTTTTGAGTTTCGGAGAGTNTACTCCGTTCCGGGGTAGGGGTAAGGTCTGCGTACATACTACCCTCCACAGACCCAACTAGTGGGATTTTACTGGGTTGTTGTTGTTGTTGTTGAGTACATGGGGTCGGTTGTACTCATACTATACTTCTGCACCTTGCGTGCAGATGTTGCCTGCTGACGTTGCTGTGATGGACAGGAGCTGGATTTGAAGATGTACTCGCATTCCGGTTATAGCCGCCTCTTGTTCATGGTAGCTCTAGGCTTCTGAAAATCTGTTTATGTATTATTTAGACAGATGATATTTTTTTATTTCACACCAGAGTTGTAAATTTTAATCTTAGAAGCTCATGATTTGTACTACCAGTCCTTGGAAAATGTATAGAATTAAAATATTTTCTTTTACTTACTTGTCTTATTAAATTTCACTGGAATTGGAAAGTTGTTAATTGGCTTACCTAGCGGGTTGGATTAGGACTATCACAACTAGTTGAATTTTGGGTCGTGACACTAATCAATTTGAAAAGTACTTTTGAATGGCAATTAGTGTTTGGCAAAATTTTTAAAAAGCATTTCTAAGTATATTTTTAAAAAATACTTTTGAGTAGAAGCTACCTTTTTCAACTTTTCAAAAACAGCTAGCTTCTGCTCCTACTCAAAAAGTACTTTTTCAGCTTTCTCAAAATCAGCTTGTGCTTCTACTTAAAAAAGAATTCCCTTCTAAAAATTAGGTCAAATATGGACCCATTAATGAGTTTATATCCGCTTTGGTATTGTTCATGTAATTGTTGCTTCCTCTCCTAATGCTGCAAAACTGTTCTTGAAGATCCATGACTTGACTTTTGCCAGCAGAGCGTAAAATGGAGTATCTCATTGCATTTTCTATGGTAAGAAAAATCTGGACTCTAGCAAATACGGGCCTTATTGGAGAAATATGCGAAAATTGTGCACTCTACAACTGCTTAGCAATATGAAGATCAATTTATTTCAGCCTATGAGGAACCAAGAAGTTAGAATTCTTATGAATTTCCTCAAACAGGCGGCTTCTGAGACCAATGTGATTGATCTTAGTTATAGTGTTGCATCTGTTAGCGCGAACATGACTTGCCTGATATATGGTATTTAGGAAGAAGTACATGGACAAGGATATAGCAGCAATGCCAAATCATGCTGGATTTTTTTCCTTTTCTTCGTTTTCTTGATCTCCAGAGATTCACTCGTCGTATGGATGTTGTTGAGTTGATCATTGCTACACCAATGGGCATTATGTAATCTAAAGAAGCTGAATTTCTATTAGATCGTTGCCATGTCAAAGCAATTTTCCTGGTAATTTTCACTCTAGTTGTGCATTTTTTTTAGTTGTTACTCCATTTTTGTTATTTTATGTGGCAATGTTGAATTAAAAAGTATTAATAAAATTACAATAGGTGCTTTACAATATATCCCTGTAGAGAAGAAGGAAGAAAGCTTAGGTTTTGAGTCTTCAATCGATGAGAGAAAGAAAGGGAAAGAGAAGAAGGGAAAGAAGAGCTAAGTTTCAGACAAGGATTAGGGATTTTCGAATCT